CTATGCAGAGCTCACCCAGGAGCTGTAGCGGCAAAACACTAACCGCAGCTTTGCTTTTATGTCTTCCCATTGCCTCCTAGAAACTTCTAGCTGGAGCAGTTGCCTGAACAGGAGAAAGCTGTCAGCATGTAGCACAACCTGTTCACCTGGAGGAGGTACAGCAACCAGGGGGGAAAGACAGAGTCCCACGGTTTATAGGGTTTGATAATACACAATAGGCTGGTGGCTCCTTCAAGCTCTGACATCCTCGAGTTGTTCTGGAGCTGTGCTTGAAGGGTTGTCTCTGTTCCCTCCCATCACACTTGGGTTTCCTGCTTCTGAAGGATTATTTCTTTTGGATGCTCCAAAGCCTTGGTCAGTCACTGGAAACTCCACTGTTGTTGAAGTGGGATGGATGAAATTTCCATCCATTTCCTTTAGTCAACATGGTTATTTTAGACTGTCAAGAGAAATATGAATGTCTGGATTCCTTTTCCATATACCTGACAGTATAAACAATGCAATAAACTCAGCTCTTCTGCCATGATTGATAAGGTTTCCACAACCAGTTCTTTCCAGGAACTTGAGTTCCATTTATAAACAACTTCTAAATCTCTCCCTACTCCTCTCCCCGATTATTTTGCCTTTAGCATTCTCCGGCTGTACCTCTTTCTGAAGAGGCAGTATGCACACCAGAACTGACTGGCCTTCAGTTATTATTCAGCTGGTGCTTTTTTGTATGTTTGCTTGTTTATTTCTGGGGGCTACGGTTTGGTTTGTGGGGTTTTAAAGATATTTTTCAGCTGGAAGGCTGAAAACAAGCAGTAGCTATTCAGTTCACAGTAGCCACCTTTCCTTGACGGAGGATGTCTTCCTACTCCATAGCCAATTTTTACAAAACTTGCTAGAACTAATTATCTCTAAGACCTGGATCAACTGTCACTTTTGCCTGGAACTGATCAATAGACTTAAAAGAGTTAACAAGGGAGCTGGGGGTGCAGAAGCTGGTTTTTGTGTTTGGGGGATTTGGTGGTTTGGGTTTTTTTTTTTTAATGCCCCTGCTTTCTGATCTATGGACTTCACATTGCTGAGATTGCCCTGTGTTATTCTACATTTTCTCTTTCAGAGCAGTGTAACAAAAGCAACAGCCTTTGTCTGCTACTGTGGAGACAAAACCACAGATCCTACACCACATTGTCCAGGAGCTGCCTGTCAGGTTGTGGACTTTCCTAGATGTTCATGAGAGAAGTCCTGTTACCAGGCAGAGGTGTTCTCAGTGAACTGCTTTTCCAGGTAATGTTTATGCCAAAATAAACTCATTAGGCTCACAGCATATGTGGGGAGCTAAATGTTTAGAGGTGGGCCACTCTGGGTCCTCTTCTTGCTTTGCTGAAAGAGAAAACTACTTTTCTTCACTTTAAAAGGCAGATACAATGCCCTCCTGTCTTACCAGATATTCTCCAAGCTGATCGAGTTGCTACTGGCAGCTGCAGGGGAGGCAGAGCAAATGGGGATGGATGAGCACCCAGCGCACCTCTGTTCCTGAGGAGGGGGAGCAGGGCTGGGGGGTGGACACGAAACCAGAGAGCATCACAGAGGCAGCACCACGCTGTTCTCCTCAACACCGGTGGCTGCTTTTGTCTCCCCAGTTTAGGTGTTAAGCACAGCAGCACTTGCAAGCAAGCGTTGCTCACTGGGAAGGAGAAAGATCCCACGCTTTCCTCACCTGGTTCCCTTTCAGGCAGTACTATTTTGGATGTAGGCTGGAAATAGTTGTGCATCCAGAACTCTGCCCAGCAAGGTAAAAGAAAAACAAACAAACAAACAAATAAACAAGAAGCAAAATGATCCTGGTAAGGTGATAGATCTTTTTATTTCTTCTACCAGTGTCCAGAATCTCTCTCACTATCCTTACAAATCTCCCTGAGCAATTGGTTTGTTGTGATTTTAGCAGTCTCACCCACTTAAATTACATTTACCTATGCTAGATAGGTTTCTTGTATATGCCTGTGCCATCCATCTCCTCTGCTACCAAGAAAGTCTAGACTTTGGCCCTTAAGGGTTCCAAAAGGAAACAGCTTCATTATAGCACTGGCTATATGATAGCAAACTGTCCAGTCCTAGCTTCATTCAACCACAAATTAAATTGATCCCTTTAAAAGTGGATTAGAGTGTTCTAATTTACTGATGAATGAATTTATAACTATAATTTATAATGTTGCCATGCAGCATTTTAATTAAAAAAAATTATTACCCTTTTTCTAAACATACAGGCTAATTCTATACTAAACAAGACTTCCTCTATTATATATAAAAAAAATAGCACATCAGAGTTCCAAATACCATAAAATCATTTTAGTCTCTTTAAACAATTGTATTTTCTTCTTGCACAATTAAGTCAACTTAACAAAAAAAACAGCCAGAATTTCTGATTCATGATAAATTCAAAATTCAATTTTAAATCCACGATTTATTTTTATTACCAGGAATATCTTAGTTTTAACTTAAACAAACTAATGTAATCTTTAATACATCCCAAAAGAAGTCTACATTCTTTCAACTTACAAATTAAGTCAGAACTTCCATCTCATTTATAGTCCTGGAAAACAAGCCATGTTCTGTGGGCCAGAAGAATTAATTCCAAACACAATTAACAAAGCTTAGTATTCCAGAGCCTCTGTATCTTTTCTGGTTGTCATTTTTCCCTTTTCTATTTAACTTGTGGCTGTTACAAATGCAGGCTATTACGTGAAGTATGCAGGTATACTTCTCCTTGAAGGAAAAAAAGAGTAGCAAAACCCCTTGCAATTTTCCCTAGGGGTTTTTTTTGTTTGTTTGTTTATTTGTTTTTTTGTGGAGAAATTACCGATAACCACACTTTGTACCTACAGACCCGCCCGAGGAAGCAGCTGCCGGAGACACCGAGCCCGGATGCTCCGGGGTGACCCCGGGGGCGGGGCGAGGCCAGACAGCAGAGGACGAGCTTCACCACCGAAGTGGGCGATTGAAAGAGCTCGTTGTGATTGGCTGATAGGATTGGAAGGATTAACCAATAGTAGCGTGGGATTTAAAAAGGACCAATGACAAAGCCGTTCGTACGGGGAGTGATGTCACTGGCGCCCTTATCCAATAGAAGCGCTGATAGCTGAGGCCAGAGATTTGCATAAGGCCCCTATAAATACGGGAGTAATCGCATTATCGGGCACTCCGGTGCTCCAGAGCAACCTGAGAGTTGTCGCCATGCCCGAGCCGGCCAAGTCCGCCCCCGCGCCCAAGAAGGGCTCCAAGAAAGCCGTCACCAAGACGCAGAAGAAGGGCGACAAGAAGCGCAAGAAGAGCCGCAAGGAGAGCTACTCGATCTACGTGTACAAGGTGCTGAAGCAGGTGCACCCCGACACGGGCATCTCGTCCAAGGCCATGGGCATCATGAACTCCTTCGTCAACGACATCTTCGAGCGCATCGCCGGCGAGGCCTCGCGCCTGGCGCACTACAACAAGCGCTCCACCATCACCTCGCGGGAGATCCAGACGGCCGTGCGGCTCCTGCTGCCCGGCGAGCTGGCCAAGCACGCCGTCTCCGAGGGCACCAAGGCCGTCACCAAGTACACCAGCTCCAAGTAGAGCGTCTCCCGGATCCGCAGTTCTAACCCAAAGGCTCTTTTAAGAGCCACCAAGTTTTTCAAGTAGAAGGGCTGAATTACTTATTTTCTCGGGAGGTACGTGAATAGTCTGCTCGTTTGCACATCACTGGAGAGTTAAGTACTCAGTTTTGTAGATATCCGAAATGTTAATTTTCAAGCGGAGGGCTCTCGGTAAACAGCTATGCTCGGCATGCAGAGTTATACTTGTTTTTTTAAAGCTAAGATACGAGTACCTGCTATTGTCTCTGGTCTTGAATGTGACTAAACAGCAGCAGCAAGTTTGTCCTAGTGCTTTACCAGCTCTCGCTGTTCAGGACTCGGGAGTCCGCGGGGGAAGGTACGTGTCCTTTTACTTTCTAAGGGTTTTAATTTCTCTTACCGGATAGATCCGGTAGAAAATCCTAGATGCTGTTAAGAACTGGCTTTCTGTACACTATGCCTATGAAATAAAAAAAATCGTATTTCTGCCCCTTTCAGGGACTAATAAATATTTTGAAAGCAGTTTCTGAAGCAAGTCTTCCAGTCGTATTTTTAGCTTGTTTTCTTTTTTTTTTTTTTTTTTTCCTCCGTACGTTCCAGTGCACGCCCCCAACACCATGGCTTTTTTCACTGGAATTACTTGTCTGTACTCGATTAGGCAACAGGGAAGGATTTTTATTTCCGAGGGGTTTTCCGGTTTAAAACGCCCCTGTCCAAACTTGCGCAGGAGTTGGTTCTCTCCC